ATTTTGAGTTTGAATTGCAACTCTCCATTATTTGTAAAGCCTGTGGTCATGCCGTTCTCAAGGTAGAACCTAATAATTATCTCTCCATCAACCTGCACCAAGATACAAAATCGCTTCCTATGTCCATTCAGAATTCTTTAGATCTTTTCTTTAGAGAAGAAGAGCTTGAATATAACTGTGAGATGTGTAAGCACAAGAGTTGTGTTGCAATGCACACACTTAGGAGGCTCTCCAGGGTCCTTATCATTCATCTGAAGCGCTATAGCTTCAACGATGCTTGGTTGCTGGTGAAGAATAACGAGCAAGTTTATATTCCCAAATATTTAAGCTTATCTTCTTATTGCAATGAAAGCACCAAACAACCTCTTCCCTTGAGCAGTAATGCACCCATGGGGAAATGTGAAGTCCTGGAAGTCACTCAGGAGATGATTTCTGAGATCACCAGCCCATTAACACCATCATTGAAGCTGACCTCAGAATCCAGTGACTCCCTGGTTCTACCCATGGAACCAGAAAAGAATGCTGACCTTCAAAGTTTCCAGAGAGACTGTGGAGAAGCAAGCCAAGAGCAGCATCAGAGAGACCTGGAAAATGGCTCTGCACTAGAGTCAAAATCGGTCAACTTTAGAGATAGGGCATTCGGTGAAAAGAAGTGTCCAGTGGCTGACTCACTGATGGATCAGGGAGACATTTCTCTTCCTAGGATCTGTGAAGATGGCAGTAAACCACTCAGCAGCCCAGACACGAGGCTTCTCGACGTTCACCTTCAAGAGATGCCTCAACATCCAGAACTTCAGAAGTATGAGAAAACCAATACATTTGTAGAGTTAGATTTTGACAGCGTCACTGAGTCTACCAATAGCTCTTATGAGTGTAAAGAAAACAGGTTTCCAGAAGGATCTCCAAGGATGTCTGAACAGCTCCAGCAGTGTATTGAGAAGAGCATCATAGAGGAACTTCTTCAGCAGGCATCACCTCCAGGTGTTAGGAAGCTGGATGCCCAGGAACATGCAGAGGAGACCGTTAGTCCACCTACAGAATTCAGACTTCAAAAGGCTGACCTGAATCACCTGGGGGCATTTGGTTCTGATAACCCAGGAAACAAAGACATTTTAGATACAGAGAACACAAGAGACGAAGTCAAGGAACTGATGAGAAACATGAAGATGGGGGATCCTCTCCAGGCCTACAGACTCATCAGTGTTGTCAGCCATATTGGGAGCTCCCCAAATTCAGGCCATTACATCAGCGATGCATATGACTTTCAGAAGCAGGCCTGGTTCACATACAACGATCTATGTGTATCAGAAATCTCAGAGACCAAAATGCAGGAGGCGAGGCTTCACTCTGGATATATCTTCTTTTACATGCACAATGGGATTTTTGAGGAGCTGTTAAGAAAGGCAGAGAACTCTCGGCTACTTAGCACACAGGCAGAGGTGATTCCTCAGGGCGAGTAAAATGACTCCTTATACAGACCTGCTTGACAGACTCACTGGGTCTCACTTCATCCACGCAAGGAGAATCCTATACTTCACCTAGAATGGAGGAACAAGTATCTCAGGATGAAAGCTCAATGAAAAACACTTATTTTGGGGGAATTTATCTAGATCCCAGAACTCAGACCCATATGCGTATTTTCCCTACAAGATTAGAAGGGCACTTTTCATGTTTTGACACGATGGTTTTCAAAATGCTCTTCAACCAGCAACAGCAGCAGCTAGGGACTGACTAGAAATGCAGATTCTTGGGTCCCCTCCAGACCAACTGGCACAGAAACAGGAGGTGTGGCCTAGCAATCTGTTGGAGACTCTAGTGCTCAGGAAAGTTTGAAGAACACTGTTAATGCGTGGAGTATCTTGGTATATTTTTATACTGTTGATATGGATTGTTTATGTTATATAAATGATTTTCATTGAATGTTTTGCATTTCTTTATTTTGTCCCACTGAACCTAAAACTAGATAGAGGCACCCCAAAAGTGGCAGCAGAGAAATTCCAACAAATGAATGCCCAAAACCATTCTGAGAGCGGCCTGGTTGGGATTCCAAAGGAAGAATCACTAAACGCCAAGGGGACCTGTCCAGAGCATTTATTAGAAGGAACTTAGTGCTGCAGCATATCTTCAGGTGGATGGTGAGAGAAAAAAGCATGGTCCACCTGCTAGGCACAGTGGCTCACACCTGTAATCCCAGCATTTTGGGAGGCCAAGATGGGAGGACTGCTTGAACAGAGGAGTTCAAAACCAACCTGGCAATATAGCAAGACCCTGTCTCCACAAAGATAACTTAGCCAGGCATGTCTCAGCTACTCAGGAAGCTGAGGTGGGAGGATCACTTGAGCCCAGAGTTCAAGGCTGCAGTGAGCTATGATTGCACTACTGCACTCCAGCCTGGGTGACAAAGACCCTGTTTCAAAAAAAAAAAAAAAGGGAAGGGAGGATGGTCTACCTTGGTGTGTCTGCTGCAGTGAGAGGGTCAGGCTATGGGGTTTATTTTATTTTAATTTTTGTTTTGAGACAGTCTCTTGCTCTGGCTGGAGTGCAGTGGCACGGTCTCTGCTCACTGCAACATCTGTCTCCCGGGTTCAACTGATTCTCCTGCCTCAGCCTCCCAAGTATTTGGGATTACAGGCGCCTGCCACCACGCCCAGCTAACTTTTTGTATTTCTAGTAAAGACGGGGCTTCACCATGTTGGCCAGGCTGGTCTTGAACTCCTGACCTCAGGTGATCAGCCTGCCTTGGCCTCCCAAAGTCCTGGGATTATAGGCATGAGCCACTGCGCCTGGCAGGGTGTGGGGTTTATACCAGTTTATAAGGAATTTGGTTGAGGGCTGGGACCATTTTCTTTCAGTGTTTTGGGCAACAACTTAAACACCTCTATCAGTGCCTGGGAATGTTTCAGGGTCTTATTTGGATTCAAGCCCTTGGGAAAAACCGGCAGCTTGTCTGGTCAGAACAGTCAAAGCACTCCATGATTTTCAGACACACAAAGAAAGCAAGGAGCGAATACTTTTCCTTTGTAAACTTCTTAAAATAATAACTCAATCAATATATATACCATTGGCTGGCTTCCACATGTGTTTGTAACTGGTTACTAGTAAAATCTGCTTTGCAGCAATCAACTGTATTTACCATTTTCCATGAATTTCAGGGCATAACATCAGGGTTATATGGAAAATGCAGTATATTAAATGTGAATTCAAAAGCACTGTAAAATGTTGCTTATGTTATTAATATGAATAAAACTATAAACCCATCCTCATAAATGTACATTGCCTAGTGGCTGAGCCTTAAACAGCATATAGTGTACACAGTATCAATAGGTGATGTATTAGACTTTGAATTCAGCAAGGAGTAAATAACAATTTTTTTTAAATGGCCATGTGAGTAGATAGATGGAACCTGAGAGGATTTTGTGGGTACAAAGTGATAAGAAGAGCATGGTGATTGATATACAAGGAACACGGCAAAATTAGGCAGAGCAGGTATGGGAAAGAAGAGAACAGCTGGCCGGGTGCGATGGCTCACACCTGTAATCTTTTCACTTTGGGAGGCCAAGGTGGGTGGATCACTTGAGGTCAGGCATTCAAAACCAGCCTGAGCAAATTGGTGAAACCCCGTCTCTACTAAAAATACAGAAAATTAGCTGAGCATGGTGGTGGGCTCCTGTAATCCCAGCTACTTGGGATGTGGAGGCAGGAGAATTCACTTGAACCTGGGAGGTGCAGGTTGCAGTGAGCTGAGATTGTGCCACTGCACTCCAGCCTGGGTGACAGAGTGAGACGCCATAAAAAAAAAAAAAAAAAAAAAAATGGCCATGTGAGTAGATAGATGGAAGTCGAGAGGATTTTGTGTGTACAAGGAGAGAACAGCCTGGTGATATATAAGGAATGGGGCAAAATTAGGCAGAGTAGGTATGGGAAAAAAGAGAAGAGCAACCAGAAACATACGTATGAGGTTTTAAAAAACATATTATTTTTAGCATTTAAGAGGAAAAGAAGGAAAGTACTATAAGAAAAGAAATAAGCTGAGTACCATGGCTTGTGTGTGTGATCCCAGCACTTTGGGAGCCTGAAGTGGAAGGATAGCCGGAGACTTTGAGGCTATCATGAGCTACGACTATACCACTGCACTCCAGCCTGGACGACAGAGTGACATCCTATCTCAAAAAAAAAAAAAAAAGAAAAAAGAAAGCCAAATGGCAGTTCCCATGAAGCAATGCCAAGACAGCTTTGTGCTCTGGAGAGAAAGCTGTACTTCTTGGTCATGGTTTCCAGTACTCTATACCTCCAGAGAAACTTCTCACTCAAGAATTATAGAAATGATCCCTAAAAGTATAAAGTACTGTATTTTATTTATTCATTCATTCATTTATTTTCTTTTATTTTTGAGATAGAGCTTTGCTCTTGTTGCCCAGGCTGGAGTGCAATGGTGCGATCTTGGCTAACTGCAAACTTCACCTCCCAGGTTCAAGCAATTCTTCCTCAGCCTCCCAAGTAGCTGGGATTACAAGTGCCCAAAACCATGCCTGGCCAATCTTTACATTTTTTGTAGAGACGGGGTTTCACCATGTTGGTCATGCTGGTGTCGATCAGAGCTCAGGTGATCCGCACAGCTCAGCCTCCCAAAGTACTGGGATTACAGGTGTGAGCCATTGCACCCGGCCAAAAGTATAGTCTTTTAAACGTTTTTAAAGATATGGATACCACTGGTCATTAGTCACTGGAATAAAACTCCATAAGGGTTTTTGGCACATTTGGTTTATTGCTACATCTTCAGTGTTTAAGAGTTCCTGGTACACAAAAGGCATCTAATAAATATTTATACCTAATAAACATTTGCTGAGTAAGTCAAATCAGTTTTCAAAGGGTACTGTGCATAATAAGTCCTCACTACCTTCAAAGATAGCCTTCAAATTACAGGCCATTTCAACATGAATTCTGCGGTGACAATTCCAGGCTACCATATTTTCCCTTGTTTTTTAAAGTGCACGGGGTTCCTATCTGGAGTGAATTCTTTTCTGGTGTCTAACAAGGTATGACTTGTCAGCGAAGGCTTTTCCACATTCAGCACATTGATAAGGCTTTTGCTGGGTATGGACTTTTTTATGCAAACTAAGGTTTAATTTCCGGATGAAAGTTTTTCCACATTCACTACATCTGTAGGCCCTTTCTCTGCTGTGAGTTTTCTGATGCGTCTGAAGGTTTGACTTCTGAAAGAAGGCTTTTCCACAACTATTACATTCATAAGATTCTTCCCCAGTATGGATTTTTTTGTGTTTAATGAGGTTTTTCTTCTGGATAAAGGTATTTCCACATAGCTCACACGCATAAGCTCTCTTCCCAGTGTGGATTCTCTCATGATCAATGGCATTTGATTTCTGGGAAAAGGCCTTCTCACATATGCCACATTTATAGGGTTTCTCTCCCGTGTGTATTCTCTGGTGTTTCACAATATCTGACTTGTAAATGAAAGCCTTTCCACAGTCCTTACATTGAAAGGGTTTCTCTCCACTGTGAAGTTTTTTATGTTGAATGAGGGTTGAGCCCTGCTTGAAGGATTTCTCACATTCATTACACTGATAGGATCTCTTGGCATTATGAATTTTCTCATGATTAATGCAGGATGATTTCCAGGAAAAGGCTTTTCCACAGGTCTTACATTTATAGGGCTTCTCTTTAGTATGAATTTTCTGATGTTGAAAGAGATTTGACTTCTGCTTGTAGGCTTTTCCACATTTCTCACATTTATAGGGCCTTCCCTCTGCATGAGTTTTCTGATGTTTATTCAGCTTCCACTTCTCCCGGAATGCTCTTCCACAGTTAGGACATTCAAAGGATTTCTGACTGGCATGCATCCCCAGGTGACTCTGAAGGCGTGACTTGGAACTGACTAACTTTCTAAGTGGATTACATTTAAGTTGTTTTCCTACAAATTTGGATTGATTATCACCAACTAATTTTCTATATCCAATATCTTTATGAGAATTGTTTTGTACATAGCTTTTAGAATTGAAATTACAGTTCAAATGCTTTTCAAATGGGCCACATTTGAGGAATCTAAGTCTGGAAGAAACATCATCTATGCTCAGTCGAAATAGTCTCTTAGATTTGTCATGTTCTGTGCCATTCTGTGTAGTCAGCATTTTCTTATTGATTGATGGGACTTCTCTTGAAAGACTCTTTTTCACATCCTGGGGGTTCCAAATCTGCCCTCCAATGTCCCAGTTTTTTTCTAAAATGGAATACAAAGAAATGTCCTGTGTAAAACTTTCCACTCACATGCTTGAAATAAAATGCCATAAACAAACTATTGTGGTGATCATTCTGCTTTCAAACCTAATGCCTATGAGAAACCAAAGTTCATGTAAGCTCTGTTAGAGTTCTAGGTGAACTAATGAGGTGAACTAGTTCTAGCATGAAGCTATCACATGTCTATCGGTAAAGGACTGAGGATCGCAGAGCTAGTGCACAGGGAGCCGGGGAGAGCCCAGGGATACCAGGGAGAGGGGGATTAAGAAATCGGGTTTGGGCCAGGCACGGTGGCTCACACCTGTAATTCCAGCACTTTGGGAGGCTGAGGCGGGTGGATCACGAGGTCAGGAGATCGAGACCATCCTGGTCAACATGGTGAAACCCCGTCTCTACTAAAAATACAAAACATTAGCTGGGCATGGTGGCGCGTGCCTGTAATCCCAGCTACTGAGGAGGTTGAGGCAGGAGAATTGCCTGAACCCAGGAGGCGGAGGTTGCGGTGAGCCGAGATCACGCCATTGCGCTCCAGCCTGGGTAACAAGAGTGAAACTCCGTCTCAAAAAAAAAAAAAAAAACGAAATCGTGTTTGCCAGGCCGGGCGCAGTGGCCCACACCTGTAATCCCAGCACTTTGGGAGGCAGAGGTGAGCGGATCACCTGAGGTCAGGAGTTCAAGACCAGCCAGACCAGCATGGTGAAACCCCATCTCTACTAAAAATACAAAAATTAGCTGGGTGTGGTGGTGGGCGCTTATAATCCCAGCTACTTGGGAGGCTGAGACAGGAGAATCGCTTAAACCTGGGAGGTGGAGGTTGCAGTGAGCCAAGATCATACCACTGCCTCCATTCTGGACAACAGACCAAGGGTCTGTCTTAAAAAAAAAAAAAAAAAGGAAATAGAGTTTGCCTGCAAAGGAAAACTCAGAGAAGAATATAAATAACATTTCTGAGTGGAGAATAATACCTGGAGATTTCTTTCTGCGCTCATAGGAAATCACAGCACGCTCTTCTTGCTGTCAAATGACCTCATCATTAAAAAAAAAAAAAAACTGAATTTGCTGGGTGCAGTAGCTCACACCTATAATCCCAGCACTTTGCGAGGCTGCGGCGGGCAGATCACAAGGTCAGGAGTTTGAGACCAGTGTGACCAACATGGTGAAACCCTGTCTTTACTAAAAATGCAAAAATTAGCCAGGCGTGGTGGCAGGCACCTGTAATCCCAGCTACTCAGGAGGCTGAGGCAGGAGAATCACTTGAACCCGGGAGGTGGAGGTTGCAGTGAGCCGAGATCACGCCACTGCACTCCAAACCTGGGCAACAGAGTGAGACTCCATCTAAAAAAAAAAAAGAACTGAATTGCAACATTGACCCACAGGGCTCTCCTGGTCACCTACCTGGATGGCCACGTCTCAGCACTTCCTCTTCTTCTGACCATGGCTCCTTTCCTTGTTCCAACCTCAAGATCACGTTGGGTTTGGTGGTTTCCTCTTGTCCTGTTACAGAAGATACTGCAGAGCCTGGTGTTGGTGGATGTGTGAGTTGTTTGTGTAAGTGTGTGAGTGTAGATAAGTGCTTGTGTGTACATGTGTGAATATTTGTGTGTGAGTGTAAGCGTATGTGCCATTGGTTGAGGCGAGTTGTGTGGATGAACAGTTTGAGGGAATGCACATGAGCATTTAAACTAAGTAAAAAATGCTTTTTCTGGGCTGGGTGTGGTGGCTCATGCCTAGATTCCCAGGACTTTGGGAGGCCAAGGCAGGAGAATCACTTGAGCCCAGGAATTTGAGACCAACATGGACAAATTGACAAAGACCCAGTCTCTACAAAACAAAAGCCAAGCTTGGTGGTGCACACCTGTGGTCCCAGCTATTGAGGAGGCTTAGGTGGGAGGATGGCTTGAGCCCAGGTCAGTGTTGCAGTGAGGTCAGACAGGGTGGCTCATGCCTGTAATCCCAGCACTTTAGGAGGCCAAGGCAGGCAGGTAATCTGAGGTCAGGAGTTTGAGACCAGCCTCACCAACATGAAACCCTATCTCTACTAAAAATACAAAAATCAGCCAGGCATGGTGGTGCCCACCTGTAATCCCAGCTATTCGGGAGACTAAGTCAGGAAAATTGCTTGAACTTGGGAGGCAGAGGTTACAGTGAGCCGAGATCACACCACTGCACTCCAGCCTGGGCAACAGAGCAAGACCCCATCTCCAGAAATCAAAATAAAAGATACTGCAATTAACTATGATTGCACCACTGCACTCCAGTCTTGGTGACAGAGACAGACAGTGAGAAAGGCGGGAGAGAGAGAGAGAGAGAGAGAGAGAGAGAGAGAGAGCGCACAAGCCAGGGAGGGAAGGAATGATGAAGGGAGGGAGGGAGGGAGGGAAGGAAGGAAAGAAGGAAGGAAGGAAGGAAGGAAGGAAGGAAGGAAGGAAGTGCTTTTCCTTCTTGGAGGATGAAGTGTTTCCAAAAATCAGGACCGGGAGTAGGGTGAAGGGCGGGGCACCCAGCCCACTGCCTCCCAACTTAGAGGCCCTCATTCTCCAGGCACTTGCAGGACCCTGAGGATGAGGGCTCCTCAAACGCAGTACTCAGTACACTTCACTCACCTTACCCTAGTCCTGGCTATATAAAAACATGCAAAGTAAGGAGCACCTCAGCGCCAACCCTCTTATTCAGCAAGCCACGGGAGGTCTGTGAGTTTCAGACCTTAGGTTTTGAGTCCCCCTGCCCAGGATGCTGTCCTTACCCACAGAGACGAGGTTGCTGTAATTCTCTAGCATCACATCCCTGTACAAGTTCCTCTGTTCGGGATTCAGCTGCTGCCACTCCCCCTTGGTGAAGTTCACAGTGACATCCTCGAAGGTCACTCTTCCCTGTAACAACAGATTCCCAATCAGTATAAAAAGGCCATTGAATCCTGCGGCTGGGTATATGGAAACTTGTTTCTGCTGAACCAAGCTTTAATCATGTCCATAATTTGCTCTACTCTTGAAAAAAAAAATTGTGCCCAGAGTATCTTGCCAATGAGCCATAAACCTTAGACTTACTCATGACACTGCTGTGTTTCTCCATTTTCTAGTCCCACCAATTCTACTTCCTGAATCTCAAACCCATCCCTAATGGGTTTGAGCTAATCAGGGGGCTACTCAGGAGGCTGAGGCAGGAGAATCGTTTGAACCCAGGAGGTGGAGGTTGCAGTGAGCCGAGATCACACCTCTGCACTCGTGCCTGGGCAACAAGAGCAACCCTAATGGATGGGTTTGAGATTCAGGAAGTAAAACTGGAAACTAATTTTATATCTTCTCCACCATTCATTAATCTACATCGTCATCTTTTACTAAGAGTAAGGCAGAGGCTGAGTATAGTGGCTCACACCTGTCATCCCTACCTTTTGGGAGGCCAAAGCAGAGGATCGTTTGAGACCAGAAGTTTGAGATTAGCTGGGCAACATAGCAAAACCCCCATCTCAAAGAAAATTCTATTATTTTGGCTAGGCACAGTGGCTCATACATGTAATACTTGCATTTTGGGAGGCCAAGGCGGGTGGATCACCTGAAGTTAGGAGTTCAAGACCAGTCTGGCCAACATAAAGAAACCCTGTCTCTACTTAAAATACAAAAAATTAGCTGGGCATGGTGGCGGGTGCCTGTGGTCCCAGCTACTCAGGAGGCTGAGGCAGGAGAATCGCTTGAACCTGGTAGGCGGGGGTTGTAGTGAGCCAAGATTATGCCACTGTACTCCAGCCTGGGCAACAGAGCAAGACTCTGTCTCAAAAATAAAAAAAGAATTTTATTTTTTTTGTATTTTTCTTTAAGACATCCTGCTTCTATTAGAAATTCTTTTTTAAATAGAGGCTGGGCGCAGGGGGTCACATCTGTAATCTCAACACTTCAGGAGGCCAAAGCAGGTGGATCACCTGTGCTCAGGAGTTCGAGACCAGCCTGGCCAACATGGTGAAACCCTGTCTCTACTAAAAATACAAAACCTAGCCAGACGTGGCGGCATAGGCCTGTAATCTCAGCTACTAGGGAGGCTGAGGCAGGAGAATCACCTGAACAATTATTTACACGGAGTCTCATTGTCTCCCAGGCTGCAGTGCAATGGTGAGCCCAGATCACACCATCGCACTCCAGCCTGGTAGACAGTGAGACTCCGTCTAAATAAATAAATAAGTAGAATAAGCCAGTAGCCCCCTAATTCTTCCAGCTACATCTAAACTGACGCTAATCTACTTTCCACAGTCAGCATACAGACTGGATTGGTGCACTCCCCTAATTTATCGGCTTTCCTTGCATTTGGGGAAAGGGAGACACCCGTTACATGGGTCAATGTCTGGCATGTCGACCACGTTCCCACTCACACAGGGTCACACCATGCTCTCCTGGGTCTCTCCTGCAGCCATACTGGACTTACAGCAGCATTTTGTTGCTGGCACTCAACACTCAAAGTGTTGGAAATCACACTTGTAAAGCCACTTCCTTTGTCAGAAACTGAAAATTTCACCTCTAAGAGTCCTGCACCTACTGTCCTCTTGGACAGATAAATTTTTTAGTGGTGTTTGTGTTGTAGCTTGCTTTTGTATATATTTTCTGACACAGGGTCTTGCTCTGCCACCCAGGCTGGAATACAGTGGCATGATCATCGCTTACTGCAACTTCAACCTCCCAGGCTCAAGCAATCCTCCTACCTCAGCCTCCAGAGTAGCTGGGACTACAGGCATACCCCACCATGCTAAGCTCATTTTTTATTCTTTGTAGAGGCAGGGTCTTACTATATTGTCCAGGCTGGTCTCGAACTCCTGGCCTCAAGTGGTCCTCCTGCCCTGGCTTCCCAAAGTGCTGGGATTATAGGTGTGAGCCACCACGCCCAGGCTTAGTATGCCTTTCCTGTCAAGATTCCAACATCAGGCTAAATTTTAAGAGTGGCAAAGAAACTACTATCTGCCTAACTGCATACAACTTATCCTTGGTCTTTGAGCTATTCATAATTTACATTGATTCTGACTGGTTACCAGTTTGTGATTTTTTCAGTTTATTGTGTAGATTCATGGAATTTATTGCCAATGTACACAGAACAGAGTGGGGAGAGGACACACATTCAAGACGCCAATCATTTAAAAAGTAGGTTGGGGTGAAGCACACATGACACCATTACATCTCGGGCTTAGCAGTTGACCATGTTTATAAGAACAGTAGTCAAGGCTGGGCGCGGTGGCTCAAGCCTGTAATCCCAGCACTTTGGGAGGCCGAGGCGGGTGGATCACGAGGTCAAGAGATCGAGACCATCCTGGTCAACATGGTGAAACCCCGTCTCTACTAAAAATACAAAAAATTAGCTGGGCATGGTGGTGCGTGCCTGTAATCCCAGCGACTCAGGAGGCTGAGGCAGGAGAATTGCCTGAACCCAGGAGGCGGAGGTTGCGGTGAGCCGAGATCGCACCATTGCACTCCAGCCTGGGTAACATGAGTGAAACTCCGTCTCAAAAAAAAAAAAAAAAAAAAAAAGAACAGTAGTCAAAAGATGCTTGAGGCCAGGCACGGTGGCTCACACCTGTAATCCTAGCACTTAGGGAGGCCGAGGCAGGCAGATCACAAGGTCAGAAGTTTGAGACCAGCGTGACCAATGTGGTTAAACTCCGCCTTTACTAAAAATACAAAAATTAGCCAGATGTGCTGAAACCAGCCCAGTAATCCACAAACAGTTGTTTTTGGATAAACATAGAAATTGGCTCTTCTGCTTGAAACTTGTATTTGTTTTATCTGAGCTCCTTCCTCAGGAAAGGACCTTCAGATCTCTCAAAGGCAGGCAGATCACCTGAGGTCAGGAGTTCAAGACCAGCCTGCCCAACATGGTGAAGCCCTGTCTCTGCTAAAAATACAGAAATTAGTCAAGAGTGGTGGCATCCACACCTGTAATCCCAGCATCTCAGGAGTCTGAGGCAGGAGAATCGCTTGAACCTGTGAGGTGGAGGTTGCACTGAGCCAAGATCACACCACTGCACTCCAGCCTCGGTGACAGAGCAAGACCCCCTCTCAAAAAATTGAAACTCACCACACCAAATGTCTCCTTGCCCCTCCCCAGTTCTTGTTTTCTTACACATGGTCACATTTCTTCCCTGCTATATAAATCCCTAGTTTTAGTCACTCAGGGAAATGGGTTTGAGGCTGAGCTCCCATTTCTTCAGCTACAGCAGCTGATTAAAGCCTTCTTCCTTAGCAATACGTATTGTCTCAGTCATTGGCTTTCTGTGCAGCCAGTAGCAGGACTGAGACCAAACCCCTGGTGTTTTGGTAACCAAGCTTTTTTTTTTTTTTGAGATAAGGTCTCACTCTGTCACCCAGGCTGGAGTGCAGTGGCACAATCATGGCTCATTGCAGCCTGAACCACCCATGTTCAAGCGACTCTCCCACCACAGCTTCCCAAGTCGCTGAGAATACAGGTGTCCACCACCACACCTGGCTAATTTTTTGTAGAGGGGGATCTCGCCATGTTGCCCAGGCTGGTCTCAAACTCCTGAACTCAAGTGATTCACCTGCCTCGGCCTCCCAAAATGCTAGGATTACAGGTGTGACCCACCATGTCCAGCCTTAAGCTTTACTTGAAATGTTTTAGCTGTAATAGGAAAGGAGAAAGTAGAGTGTGTGTTACCTTTTAATAAAAGTATGGAAGGAAGGAGGAAAATATGCCAAAAGGTTAGCAGAGGTTAACTCTGAGCAAGAGGAAGATGGGTCATATGTTTGTTTATTATAAAGATTTAGATTTTTTAAAAAACTCACCTGGGAACTCTTCATTTCCTGTTCTTCACCAGTCAATAAAGTCTTGGGAAGGCAGATCTGAGGGAAAATGGAAAAGAGCCATGAAACAGCAGAATTGCTTTGGAACTTGCAGATCATCCAGTATAGAATGCTCCACACCCTGGATAAAGGCTCTCCTCACACCACTCAGGAAAGCCCCAACTTGTACTTCCATGATCCCCTCCAAACAATGTGGCAACTTCCATGTCAATGTAACTGTGGTGTATCATGGAGTTCTTATGGCTGTCTTTTCTTTTTTTTTTCTTTTTTTTTTGTGTGTGTGTGTGTGTTTGTTTTTTTAATGAGACTGGGTCTCAAAGAAGAAAGTACAGGCCGGATGCGGTGGCTCACACCTGTAACCCCAGCACTTTGGGGAGGCTGAGGCAGGCAGATCACCTGAGATCAGGAATTTGAGACCAGCCTGGCCAACAGGGTGAAATCCCATCTCTACTAAAAATACAAAATTAACCAGGTGTGGTGGCGCACACTTGTAATCCCAGCTACTTGGGAGGCTGAGGTAGGAGGATTGTTTGAACCTGGGAGGCAGAGGCTTTTCCTTAAAGAAATTATGGCGCAAGCTTATAATACATATGAGACCAGGGATCTAATGTCAACCATACATAAATCACTCCAGTAATCTTCCCTGTATGTAAGACCGTTTTCTTTTCTGTTTTGTTTTGAGACAGAGTCTCCCTCTTTTGCCCAGGCTGATGTACAGTGATCTCAGCTCACCACAACTTCCATCTCCTGGGTTCAAGAGAGTCTTTCACCTCAGACTCCCAAGTAGCTGGCACTACAGGCACGTGCCACTGCACCTGGCTAATTTTTGTATTTTTTTGGTAGCGACAAGGTTTCACCATGTTGGCCAGGCTGGTTTCGAACTCCTGGCCTCATATGATTCTCCCACCTCTGCCTCCCAAAGTGCTAGGATTGCAGGTGTGAGCCACCACACCCAGCGTGAGATCACTTTCAGAAATAGTTTTCTGGCCAGGCACAGTGGCTCATGCCTGTAATTCCAGCACTTTGAGGGGCAGAGGTGGGCAGATCATGAGTTCAAGAGACTGAGACCATCCTGGCCAACATGGTGAAACTCTGTCTCTCCTAAAAATACAAAAATTAGCTGGGCATAGTGGTGCAGGCCTGTAGTCCCAGCTACTCGGGGGGCTGAGACAGAAGAATCGCTTGAACCCGGGAGGCAGAGGTTGCAGTGAAGATCGCACCACTGCACTCCAGCCTGGGCAACAGAATGAAATTCTGTCTCAAAAAAAAAAAAGAGAAAACTAAATGGCAGTTCAACAGCACCTTTAAAACAAGCCTGGGCAGAGACAATGAGGCAAGCATCGTTCAGCTAGAGCACAGTGACGAAGACTGAGAGCAGAAAACCCTGAAGCCTGAAGCAGCTGTGCTTCCGTGCCTTGTCATGATGAAAAACACTGCAGTGAACATGGATGCAGATATCCATTCAGCATCACCATACGTGGGACAGCTGGATCCTTGGTAATTCTTTGCAAAACAGCAGATTCTGGGCCGGGCGTGGTGGCTCATGCCTGTAATCCAAGCACTTTGGAGGCCAAGGCGGGTGGATCACCTGAGGTCGGGAGTTCAAGACCAGCCTGACCAACACAGTGAAACCCCATCTTGAAAAAAAAAAGAGCAGATACTGACCAGGCTTGGTAACTCATACCTATAATCCCAGCACTTTGGAAATGTAAGGTGGAAGGATCACTTGAGCCCAGGAGTTAGATTTTTTTTTTGTTTTTTGACCAAGGTTGCTCTGTCACCCAGGCTAGAGTTCAGTGGTGGGATCCTGGCTCACTGCAACTTCCACTTCCCAGGTTCAAGGGATTCCCCTGCCTTAGCCTCCCATGTAGCTGGCTGGGATTACAAGCATGCACCACCACACCTGACTAATTTTTGCTTTTTTTGTAGAGATGGGGTTTCACCATGTTGGTCAGGCTGGTCCTGAACTAATCTCAAGTGATCCACCCACCTCAGCCTCCCAAAGTGGTTCATTACAGGCATGAACCACCACGCCCAGCCAAGCCCAGGAGTTTGAGACCAGCTTATGCAACATAGTGAAGTGCCATCTCTGTTTAAATAATAAAGTTTTTATTTTTTATTTTATTTTATTGAGGCAGGGTCTCACTCTGTCACCCAGGCTAGAGTGCAGTGGTGTGATCCCAGCTCGAAGCAGTTTAAAAATCTCCTGTTTGGCTGGGCAGGGTGGCTCACGCCTGTAATCCCAGCACTTAGGGAGGCTCAGATGGGTGGATCACAAGGTCAGGAGTTCAAGGCCAAACTGGCCAACATGGTGAAACCCCATCTCTACTAAAAAATTCAAAAATTAGCTGGGCATGGTGGCTCGTGCCTGTAATCCCAGATACTTGGGAGGCTGAGGTGGGAGAACTGCTTGAACTGGGACCCAGGAGGCAGAGGTTGCAGTGAGCCAAGATCACACCACTGCACTCCAGCCTGGGCTACAGAGTGAGACTCCATCTCAAAAAAAAAAAATCTCCGGTTCAAGAGATCCTCCTACCTTGGCCTCCCGAATAGCTGAGATTATGGGCGCATGGTACCACATCGTCTAACATTTTATTTTTTGTAGAGAAGGGGTCTTGCTATGTCACCTAAGCTGGTCTGAAACTCCTTGGCTCAAGCAACCCTCCTGCCTCAGCCTCCCAAAATGCTGGGATTACATGTATATGCCACCAAACATAGGCAAGAATAAAGTTTTAAATAAGTAACGATTTTTTAAAGAAAGAGTAAACTTGCCGAGGGTAACTTTAATGTTTACTAAAGTTTGAGGAGTCCAAGACCGGCGTGGTGGCTGACACCTATAACCCCAGCACTTTGGGAGGCTGAGGCGGGCGGATCATGAGGTCAGGAGTTTGAGACCGGCCTGGCCAATATGGTGAAACCCCGTCTCTACTAAAAATACAAAAATTAGCCAAGCATGGTGGTGCACGCCCATAGTCCCAGCTACTCAGGAGCCCGAGGCAGGAGAATAGCTTGAACCCCAGAGGCAGAGGTTGTAGTGAGCCAAGATCACACCACTGCACTCCAGCCTGGGCGACAGAGCAAGACTACCTCTCAAAAAAATAAAAATAAATAAAATTTGAGGAGTCCAATTCTACAACAAAAATATAGATACTTTAAAGAAAAGAGTAAATTTTAAGTGCTTTCACCACAAAAAAAAGATTAGTTTGATTTAATCTTCCCCCAATGTAAACCTGTGTCAAAACATGACATTGTGCTCATAAATAAACGCAGTTATTATTTGTCAATAAAATTTTTTTTAGAAGTAGCCAGCCAGCAGTAATGCTGATTGGAGGGCCATGAAAAGAACTGGGGGTATCCTGGGAGCATCGCTTTTCAATATGCCAATTAAAAAAAAAATCTAACCTTCTAATGTAAAACATTTGGCTTATTCTGGCTAATAGGAGAGGTAGAAAAATAAAACTTAGTAAAAACAGAAAAGAAAAGGAAAGAAAGAGAGAGAGAGAGAAAGAAGGAAAGAAAGAGAAAGAAAGAGAAGAAAGAGAAGAAAGAAAGAAAAGAAAGAAAGAAAGGAAGAAAAAAAAGAAAAGAAAAGAAATAAAGAAGAAAGGGAAGGAGGGAGGGAGGGAGGGAGGAAGGAAGGAAGGGAGGAAGGAAGGAAGGAAGGAAGGAAGGAAGGAAAGAAAAGAAATCCTAAACATTTGGCTTTCAGGGAGAAAAAAAAATCAGCTTACCGCCGGGCGCGGTGGCTCACGCCTGTAATCCCAATACTTTGGGAGGCTGAGGCGGGTGGATCACGAGGTCAAGAGATCGAGACCATCCTGGTCAACATGGTGAAACCCCGTCTCTACTAAAACTACAAAAAATCAGCTGGGCATGGTGGCGCGTGCCTGTAATCCCAGCGACTCAGGAGGCTGAGGCAGGAGAATTGCCTGAACCCGGGAGGCGGAGGTTGCGGTGAGCCGAGATCGCGCCATTGCACTCCAGCCTGGGTAACAAGAGCGAAACTCCGTCTCAAAAAAAAAAAAAAAAAAAAAAAAAAAAAAAAAAAAATCAGCTTACCTCCAATGGAATTTGGTATAAATCAGCACCTTGGTTGACTTCCGATGCCTGTGGTCTTTCCTTGTGGTAGGGACTGACAATGAAAAGACATGTATACTGGAAACTTGACTAATGACCAAAACCTAATCATCCCTCCCCACTGTATTCCCTATCATAATGCAGTCGAGAAACAATCCAAACACTGCCTATCAAAAGCCCCACCTGATCCTATTAGGCCACGTCAAAACTTCAATTCCCAACTCTTTCCTCGACTTCTCCAAAACTGAATGAACTCTCATAAAAATCGTGATTTTGAAAGCTTTGCCTTCAAACCTGCCTAATCTGTTTCCAAAGGAAACTTTTTAAAGTTCATGCAAGTAAAACTTTTTCATCTTAAAAATAAAAATACTATTTCAAATACATTTGAAATAGTAAGGGTCAGAGGCCCAATGACATAAAACAACAAAAAAATTGGCCAGGTGTGGTGGCTCACACCTGTAATCCCAGCACTTTGGGAGGTCAGGAGTTTGAGACCAGCCTGGCCAACATGGGGAAACCTTGTCTCTACTAAAAATACAAAAATTAGCCGGTTGTGGTGACACCCGCCTTAATCCCGGCTACTCTGGAGGCTGAGGCAGGAGAATTGCTTGAACCCGGAAAGTGGAGGTTGCAGTGAGCAGAGACGGGGCCACTGCACTCCAGCCTAGGCAGCAAGAGGGGGCCGCCGTCTCAAAAAAAAAAAAAGAGAAAAAGAAAGAAATAGAGCCAACGGAGGAACAATGACTTTAAGTGCTCTCCGCCCAACAGGAAGTATTCAGGCTCCAACCGGCAAAAACTCTTCAGCTGTACTAATACTCTCAAAATAAGATCAACAGGCCAACCCAGCCCCACCCTAGTCTGGGTGTTGAATTTAAACCCATACTACCTGCCCTTGCCCGTAGATATGGAGACGTTCCAAAATTGAGCATCCAACTGAATTCAGAGAGATGCACCAGAGTGGACCTCCTCCCCAGGAGAAGAGATATCCAAAGATACTATTAGCAAATGACCCTTGGCGGGGCGCGGTGGCTCACGCCTGTAATCCTGGTACTCTGGGAGGCTGAAGCTGCGGGGGGGTTGCAGATTACCTGAGGTCAGGAGTTCGAGACCAGCTCGGCCAACATGGCGAAATCCTGTCTCTACTAAAAATGCCAAAATTAGCTGGGCATGGTGGTGCACGCCTGTAATGATCCCAATTACTCAGTTACTCAAGAGGCTGAGGCAGGAGAATCACTTGAACCCAGAATGTGGAGGTTGCCGCGAGCCGAGATCTCACCACTGCACTCCAGCCTGGGTGACAGAGGGAGACTCCGTCTCAAAAAAAAAAAAAAAAGGCAAATGACCCAGCCAGGCTGGTGGTTCACACCTGAATCCCAGATACTTAGGAGTCTGAGGTGAGAGCATCAATTGAGTCCAAGAGGTCAAGGCTGCAGTGAGCAAAGATCTTGCTACTGCATTCCAGCCCGAGGGTGAACTGAAAGGGGTGGGGTGATGTAAATCTTTTTTTCTTTGTTTTTTTTGTTTGTTTTTTTTTTTTTTGTGATGGAGTCTCCCTCTGTTGCCAGGCTGGATGGAATGATGCGATCTCTGCTCACTGCAACCTCCCACTTCCAGGTTCAAGCAGTTCTCCTGCCTCAGCCTCCTAAGTAGCTGGGACTGCAGGCACGCACCACCATACCCAGTTGATTTTTGTGTTTTAGTAGAGACGGGGTTTCACCATGTGGCCAGGATCGTCTCGATCTCTTGATCTTGTGCTCCACCCACCTCAGCCTCCCAAAGTGCTGGGATTACAAGCATGAGCCACCACGCCCGGCTCAAATTCACTTCTTTAACCAGTAACCACCCAGCTTGAGTGGTTACTCACAGCGTTGGGGAGAGTCTCAGAGTAGGTATTCTGCAGTTCAGAGATGTGGCCCCTGCTGGGGTGAGGAACCAACATGACAGCCATATGCTTCCACGACATATTAGCCACAGCATAATCTTGTGAGGTGAGGTATGGGAAAGTCCCTGGATTATATTTCCAAAGCGTTCAGTGGTGATTGCTTTTCCAATTATTTTTTACTTAAGAAAGATTGGAAAGAAAAGAAAAGAAAAGAAAGAAAGAATGAAAGAAGAGAAAGAGAAAGAAAGAGAAGAAAGAAAGAAAGAATGAAAGAAAGAAAGATTGCTTTAATGTTGGATTCCAGTTCTGTACCTTGGGGACAAAACCTATGCTTTTTTACATCATGGTCACCTTTAGGGAGTGGACTGGTTTGGGCAGAAGCATTTTCAAGTTGTCTCTATTTAAAAGAATTGGAAAACTGCTCTGAAAAATGTGTTCCTGCCATGAGGAGATAACCGTGAGGCTGTCAGATCAGAACATGTGACTCTAAATTCCAGATGGGAAGATCCCTGCAGGCTCTATCACATTTATTTTTCAAACCATTGATCTTAATAAATCCTTTCCACTAATTCTAACACTAAACTCTCATCCTAACTCTTTTGAAAGATGATAAAAGAGATTTCCGCTAGCAATCCTTGCCTTGCCACTATTAGAAAAAAAAAATGTGGCCAGCTGTGGTGGCTCACGCCTATAACCCCAGCAATTTGGGAGGCCGAGGCAGACAGATCTCGGGGTCAGGAGATCGAGGCCATCCTGGCCAACATGGTGAAACCCCATCACTACTAAAAATACAAAAATTAGCTGGGCATGGTGGTGCATGCCTGAAGTCCCAGTTCCTCTGGAGGCTGAGGCAGGAAAATTGCCTGAACCCTGGAGGCAGAGGCTGCAGTGAGCCAAGATCAAGTCACTCCAGCCTGGCGACAGAGCAAGACTGTCTCAAAAAAAAAAAAAAAAAAAAAAGAAGTGAACTTGGCCAGGCACCGTGGCTCACACCAGTAATCCCTCTACTTAGGGAGGCCGAGACGGGTGGATCACAAGATCAAGAGATTGAGACCAACCTGGCCAACATAGTGAAACCCCATCTCTACTGAAAATACAAAAAATAGCTGGGCATGGTGGAATACAAAAAATAGCTGGGTGTGGTGGCGCACTCCTGTAGTCCCAGCTCCTCCGGAGGCTGAGGTATGGTTGCAGTGAGCCGAGATTATGCCACTGCACTCCAGCCTGGTGACAGAGTGAGACTTTGCCTCAAAAGAAAAAAAAAGTGAACTTTAGAGCCACACTCCTGCTCCAACATGTTCTCCTAACTGACAAACCATGGCAAATGACACACTTTTACCTCAATTGCCTCATGTGTAATAATAACCGTAAGTGGGAGGACAGGTTGTGAGGATTAAATGACTGAAGAACTCAGATGTGTGCCCAGCACAAAACATGTGTTTGCTATTATCTTTATCTCTAAAGTAACATACCCAGTGCTGAAATATTTTTTGCTTTTTAAAAATACTAATTGTTTATATTTTGATAGAGTAGGGGGTCTCACTATGTTTCCCAGGCTGGTATCAAACTTCTGGGCTCAAGCAAGCGTCTTACGTTGGCCTCTCACAGAGCTGGTATTACAGCTCTGAGTCACAGTGCCTGGTCAGAACTGAAATCTCGTATCTCGCCACCCCAGAAAATCTGCCAAAATTCTTATTTCAGTCAATACCGATTCCTTTCACCCAGCCAGGCAAACTCAAAATTCCAGAGGCACGCTTGACTCGCCTTGTGAACTACTGACTCTACCTTTAGAATCTCTGTTCTTCAACCAGCATCGCTTAATGTAGATCATGTCAAATCTTATATTAACCGTGTGTGTGTGTGTGTGTGTGTGTGTGTGTGTGTGTGTCTGATATGGAGTCTAGTTCTGTCACCCAGGCTGGAGTGCAGTGGTGTGATCTTAGCTCACTGCAACCTCTGCCTCCCCAGTTCAAGTGATTCTCCTGCCACAGCCTCCCAAGTAGCTGGGATTACAGGCACCTGCCACCACACCCAGCTAAATTTTTTGTATTTTTAGTGGAGGTGGGGTTTCACTATGTTGGCCAGGCTTGTCTGAAACTCCTGACTCAGGTGATCCACCAACCTCAGCCCCAGAAAGTGCTGGGATTACAGACTTGGGCCACCGGGCCCGGCTTTTTTTTTTCCCTTGAGACAGGGCTGAATGCAATGGTGCAATCACAGCTCACTGCAGCTTTGACCTCCCAGACTCAAGCAATCCTCCAGCCTCAACCTTCCAAGTATCTGGGACCACAGGGGCACACCGCCATGCCTGGCTAATTCATTTTTATGTTTTGCAGAGATGGGGGCCTCGCTATGTTGCCCAGAGTAGTCTCAAACTCTTGCCATAAACTCCCAAAGTGCTGGGATTACCGGCCTGAGCCACCATGCCTGGCATACTAACCAGCTGCCCTGACAAGTCCCCTGATTCTCCTCTTATGTCAGTATCAAGTGCCCTCAAACATGGCTTCATGCATTTGACAAACATTTTTTTTTCTTTTTCGACAAACATTTATTGAGCACCTGCTGTGGGCCATGCATTAGCAATGAAGCAAAGGTATGTTAGTTCCCTGTTTACTGCTGTAATAACTGACCAAAAACTTTGTGCCTTAAAACACACATGTATTATCTTATAATTTTGGAATGCAGAAGTCCTAAAATCAAGGTGTTGGCAGGGCTGGTTTCTCCTCAGGAGGTTCTAGAGGAAAATTGTTGCGTCTTCCAGTAGTGGCCGGAATGCCGGGATGCGCTGATATTTATTGTACACAAGGCAGGGGGTCAGGATAAGGAAAGCGACTCATCTGACATGATTGATAGGGTCAAGCAAATCACGTGCTTACAGTACAGGGGGCCCCTCCCTCTCAGGGAGTCAGCATCTTTCTATGCACTTATCAGAAAGATCAAAGGCTTTTAGGATTCCTGTATTCTTACTTCTCACGATTTCTAAGGAGCTCTGGGTGGGAAAGCAGAAGATGAAAGTAGACGAGGATGGTGACCACTGGAGCACAGCACCAGAGTGGCATTTAAGCCCCTGGATGTCTGGGCAGGCCTGGCTAATGTCAGGCCTTCCTCAAGAGCTGGGCAGGGCAGAGTGTTCTCTGAACTTCCCCAGTGAAAGGAAGCTCCCCTTCATGGCCTGCTAAGCAATGGGGCAACTTCCCAGGTGCTGGCATTACCACGAGGCCTGACTGATAAGCAATGGGGCACCTTCCCAGGCGCTGGCGTTACCACAAGGCTCTCACTGTTGCGTCAGGATCACTTCTCACAATGTTCCTTCAGTTCCTAATTATATTTCACCCGATTATGTCTATACTATAAGACTAAAATGATTCTATGCTATAAAACTAAAGCAAAGGTTAATAATAGAGAATTATGATTTAATATGATTGATTATATAGTTGATTATGTGATTGTTTCCACATCTCTCTGGTAGCATTGCTATAACTAAGTAATCAGTGAATATATTTGGTTTCATTGCTATAACTAAGTAATCAGTTATTTATGATATTGGGACAGATTGTGCCTTCAGTCTCTTGCCTTGGCACCTGGGCAACTTTTTTTCCCCCAGAATGCGAGAGATTTGGGGCCCAACTGATAATATAAAGTATGCTGAACTTGAACATGTTCACCATGTTCTGGCTCTAGAGGAATGAGAGTTGCTAGGGAAGTTGGTGCCATTTTGTGTATCCTCTGCACCTAAGGAGGAAAAAGTATAAGAGTTCAGTTTATATTCACAAACATGGAAGTCAACCTTTTCCCGCCTTTTCAATCCAACATGGAACCTACTACTTCCTGCGAAAACCATGCCCCCGCTGCCCCTGGCAGGACACATCTGAGGATTCATTCCTCCACTAAGTCAATCACACCTTCAACAGAAGTTTATGGAGTGTTTCCTCTGTACCAGGTACTGGGGATACATCAGTGAACAAAATTTGTATCCATGAGGTTGCTGGACTCCAGCTGGAAAGTGGGCAGTGGAATTCTTTAGAAGGTCCACAGACCTGGGAAGAGTCTTCAGGGACTGTGACCGACCCCATGATACTGTGGCAAACTTGGGTGGGAAGATCCTCCACCTCCCAGGAGGAGCTGTTGACGCCACCGTGACGAAGCACTGGCCACTGGCCATCCAAGAGCTCCTCTTGGGAGCCAAATGGGAAACAACTGGCTCGTTACCTTGCAGTCCCTCAGAAATCTTGCCCTGGTCTTCTGGCTCCAAGGACACAACTTCCCTTTTTCTCTGGAGATGAAATCTAGATCTTCGATTTTGGAACCAAATCTAAGTGGGTAAGACAAAGAAACTTAATTTAAACAAAGAATGTTGTGTAAAACTCATCATTGCTTTCTTTTTTCTTTCTTTTTTCTTTTTTTTTTTTTTTTTTTGAGACAGGAGTCTCTCTCAGAGTAGCTAATCCTGTAGGTGTGCATCATTACACTAGGCTGATTTTAAGTTTTTTGTAGAGACGAGGTTTCACCACGTGTGGCCCGGGCTGATCTTGAACTTCTGGGCTCAAGCAATCCTCACAAGTAGCTAGGACTAGAGGCACACTCAACTGTGCCCAACCCAAGATTATTATTAATATTTTATGACATTTGTGAGAGTCTATAAGGCCTGAAGAGAATATCCAAAATTCTGAAACTCACATCCAGTCCCTTTGTGATAGGTTTCATATCCTGGAAGCTCCCAGGTCCACCTCAGAAATACTGCTCTTTCCCTAAAATGACGTCCTGTATTGCAGCTCTTCCCTCTGCCTGGAATCTTTTTTCTCTCTTTTTCTTCCCCTCAGAAATGCCATTTTACTTCCAAGACCCAGAACAGAGAATGTCTAGGAAGATATTCCTCATCCCCCAAGACAAACTTAATTTCTGTTTCTTCTTTGTGTCCACAAATTATACACATATGTGTGTAAAACTTATGCATATATACTCACATATATAGTGTAATTTGAAATATCAGTTAATATATACTTATATGCATGCATTCACCAAACCCCTTATCTTCCAACAGCTACTATTTTTTTTTTTTTAAACAAAATCTCACTCTGTCACCCAGGCTGAAGTGCAGTGATACGATCATAGTTCACTGCAGCCTCAACGTCCTGGGCTCAAGTGATCCTCCTGCCTCAGCCTCTGGCATAGCTGGGACCACAGGCATGTGCCAACACACCCAGCTAATTTTTACTTTTTTTTTTTTGTAGAGTTGTGATCTCCCTGATCCTCCTGCTTCAGCTTCCAAAAATGCTGAGCCACCAAACCCAGCCACAACTCTTAACAGTGTTACAATGGCAGTTAAGTTTCAACATTGGTTTCAGGGGAGACAAACATTCAAACCGTAGCAATCACTACCTAGTACAATACCTAGCACATAGAATATGCTCCGAATAATGCAAAATGAAACAGAGAGGATGAAAAATGAAAATAAAAGAAGGGAGGTAAAAGGATAGGACCATCAGAACCACTAATGTGCACTCATGTCATGCTTACAGAAGGGGATACTGGTCTAAACGCACATACACCCTGCACAGCAGTCTGACAGAATTTTATTCCATTTTCAGATGCGTCAGGAATGAATCCTTGGGCAGACTGGAACATTTCTCTGAGCTAAATGTTCAATGTCTAAAGTGAACCTCATAATTTTTTTTCAAGATGGAGTCTCACTCCGTCACCTAGGCTGGAGTGCAGTGGCATAATCTCGGCTCACTGCAACCTCTGCCTCCCGGGTTCAAGTGATTCTCCTGCCTCAGCTTCCCAAGCAGCTGAGACTACAGGTGTGTGCCACCATGCCTGGCTAATGTTTATATTTTTCTAGAGATGGGGTTTCACCGTGTTGGCCAGGTTGGTCTTGAACTCCTGACCTCAGGTGATCTACCCACCTCAGCCTCCCAAAGTGCTGGGATTACAGGCGTGAGCCACGGCACCCGGGCTGGACCTCATAGTTCTAACCTCAGGGCATAATTCAAAGATCTGAAGGATACAGTAGACATAAAAACTTTAGTCAAATAGGCCAGGCACGGTGGCTCAACCCTGTAATCCCAACACTTTGGGAGGCCTAGGCAGGCAGATCACCTGAGGCCAGGAGTTCAAGATCAGCCTGGGCAAAATGGTGAACCCTGTCTCTATTAAAAATACAAAAAAAAAAAAAAAAAAAATTAGCCAAGCATGGTGGCACACACCTGTAATCCTAGCTATTCAGGCAGCTGAAACACAAAACCGCTTGAACCCAGGAGGTCGAGGCAGCAGTGAGCCAAGATTTCACCACTGCACTCCAGCCTGGATAATAGCCTGACCCTATCTAGTTGGGGAGTGGGGAGGCTTTAGCCAAATGCCTGGCTTATATGAAGTGATAGCGAGTACTCACTCACTCAACAAATTCTCATTGGGTGTCAAACGCCACACACTGTTCAGGGCCCCAGGAATACAACATGGTTTGGGACAGACAGAAAATACAGGAACGGGATGTGAGATTGAGCCCTGTGGACACCTGGGAGGGAACAGCTGGTGAAAGACCCTGAAATGTGCCTAGCATGAGGACCTGCCTCAGGCCCAGGTGGCTTCCCTTCCTGTGTACCCAGGTCCCTAGGAGATGGGACAGCCAAACACTTCTTATCACTCACTTGGACTCTTGACTCTGGAACACCAATTTCCTTAGCAAGTTGTTCTCTGCAATCAATCCCAGGGTATGGGTTTTTCATAAATGCCTCGATGAGAGTGCGTAATTGAGAGGTGCTGTAGATGGTCCGACACCGTCTGGCTTCTCTACCTAGGGAAGGCATGAAAAGATTGGGGGGGGGTGGTCAAGGAATATTTCAAGGGTCAGTTCAGATAGTCAAACACAGAATCACACTTGTCACTCTCCATCCCATTTCAATCCCACTGACTCTTCCTGAGAGGATTTTGTCCCAGGTCCATTCCAGGTGGAAGGTTCTAGAGGGGACACAGGATGATATGTCTGGGCTTCTGGACTCCCAGCAGAAAGAAAGTAGGCAAGAGGCAGGTGCAGTGGCTCATACCTGTAATCCCAGAACTTTGGGAGGCCGAGGCAGGTGGATCACGAGGTCAGGAGTTCAAGACCAGCCTGACCAATATGGTGAAACTCCCATCTCTACTAAAAACACAAAAATTAGCCAGGCACGGTCGTGCATGCCTGTTGTCCCAGCTACTCAGGAGGCTGAGGCAGAAGAATCACTTGAATCAGGGAGGTGGAGGTTGCAGTGAGCTGAGATCACACCACTGCACTCCAGCCTGAGTGACAGAGTAAGACTCTGTCTCAAAAAAAAAAAAGAAAAAGAAGAAGAAAGTAGACAAGAGAAACACTCAGAAGGTCCAGGAAGAGGGCAGGGGAGAACTTCTAGGGAATGATGAACGCTTTGCCTCATAAGACCCTGAAAAGCATGTCATCAGGGAAGAGATATTCTTTTCCCAATCTAAGTATCAGTTGGCCCTACCATAGAGAAGCTTGGCTGGGAAACAGAAGTGAGAGGGCTATTTACTTTGAAGCTCCATATAAGGTTGGTCTTGCCCATGGCTTTGGCTTGATTCTAAAGTCTTAGGTCCTGGTGTTTTCTGGAATCCGAACCTAGCTCTTCGATTCTGAAACCAAATCTAAGTGAGGAAAAGAAAAGGAGAGAATTATATGTTAATTTCAGCTCCATCACTGCCTGTTCCCAAAGTGAGCAATTCTTATTGGCTACCCCTAAGCCCAGAATTATTACTCATTTCTGTCACATTCTACAAAGTCTTTTCTTTCTTTTTTTTTTTTTTTTTTTTTGACATGGAGTCTCACTCTGTGGCCCAGACTGGAGTGTAATGGCACAATCTCGGCTCACTGCAACTTCCACCTTCCGAGTTCAAGCCATTCTCCTGCCTCAGCCTCCCAAGGATTGGGATTATAGGCATGTGACATCAAGCCCGGCTAATTTGTGTATTTTTCATAGAAATGGGGTTTCACCATGTTTGTCTGGCCAGTCTCAAACTCCTGACCTCAGGCTCGGTCCACCCGGCTCGCCTTCCCAAAGCGATGGGATTACAAGCATGAACTACCGCACCAGGCCCATCTACCAAGTCTTAGGACAGGACTTGGCATTCACACCCTGGGCAACATAGTGTGACAACATTGTCCCTACTAAAAAAAAAAAAAAAAAAAAATAGCAGCCAAGCGCGGTGGCTCACATCTGTAATCCCAGCACTTTGGGAGGCCGAGGTGGGCAGATCACGAGGTCAGGAGTTCAAGACCAGCCTGACCAACATAGTGAAACCCCGTCTCTACTCTATTAAAAATACACAAATTAGCTTGTCATGGTGGCGGGCACTTGTAGTCCCAGCTACTTGGGAGGCTGAAGCATGAGAATCGCTTGAACCCGGGAGGAGGACGTTACAGTGAGCCGAGATTACACCAGTGCACTCCACTCTGGGCAACAGGACAAGACTCTGTCTCAAAAAATAAAAGTAAAAAATTAGCTGTGGTGGCCCATGCCTATAGTTTCAGCTATTTGGGAGGCTGAGGGAGGGTTGCTTGAGCCCGGGATTTCAAGGCTTCAGTGAGCCGTGATTGTGCCACCACTGCATCCAGCTTGGGTGAGACAGTGAGACTGTCTCAAAAAGATGAAAACAAAAAATAAAAGATTTGGAATTCAGCACCTTCACAATCTGCTCCCAACATGATTTGCTCTAGTTATTAATATTTAATTGGTACATAGCTGCTACAATTATTACATGTTTAAAAACCAGCTCAAAATCTCCTCCTCTTTGAAGGTATGCCTACACACGTTCTCTGGCTTCCTGTGAGCTGGGTCATCCTCGGTATCCATATCTGTGAAGTCAGGCTAACAGCAACACCTCTGTGGGTTTGTTGAGGGTCAGTTGGGACACTCCCACAAAGCTCTTAGCACACGGGTACATAGTATGGGCTCCATTAGTGGTTCTCCGTCCTACCTTCTACTTCCAGTCCTGGAGATATAGAACTTTAACTTACCTGGATTCTGGACTCTTCTGTGTTGATTTCTAAAGCAAGTTTTTGTTTGGTAGCATAACCTGGGTAAGGCTTTTGATTGAAGGTATTGATGAGGATTTTCAACTGATCTTCTGTGAATTTGGTGCGACTGCGCCTATGATTTGTTCCTACCATCTCTGTAGGAAGATTACAAAAGAAGAAGAATTTAATAGGTTATTTTATTATATTCAAACTTCAGGTTCAAGCTAGTCTCTCATTTCCTCTTCCCAAATCCACTGGAACTCACTGGGGGAGAACTACCCTCATACGGTTACGGAGCTCTTGAACACACAATGGCGATTCTGCAGCTTCTTTAGCTCATCTGAATGCCATGACTAAAAAGTCAGGATCCTCTGTTTTGAAAACCCATTAAAAACCAATGTGTATGTCATGAAACTGCCAATAATTTTTTTTTAAATCAATGTGTTCTGTTCATATGGATTAGAAACAATATAAGTCATAATGCATGTGATATATCCTTATAGTGATGAAACCACAGAAATGAAGAGTTTGTGATGCAAGGACTATTTTAACCCCTTTCTGTTTTTCAGGTCAAAATTCCTTCGTGCATATGTTTTATTTTTTTAGGCAGATTCTCACTCTTTTGCCCAGGCTGGAGTGCACTGGCACAATCATGGCTCACTGCAGCTTTTACCTTCCCAGCCTCAGGTGATCCTCCTACCTCAGCCTCCCAAGTAGCTGGGATGGCAGGTGCACACCACCACACCCAGCTAATTTTTCTACTTTTTGATAGAGTCTCCCCACATTGTCCAGATTGTTCTCAAACTCCTGGGCTCAAGCGATCCCCCAGCCTTGGCCTCCCAAAGTGCTGAGATTACGGATTATGAGCCACTACCCCTGGCTGGAACATACTTTTTTACTTTGACCTCCATTGCTCAATAGCAATCACAGGCAAACAGCATCAGTTTCCAAAACATTTTTTAAAACACCACAGGGAGGACAAAATTAACTGGAAAAGGAATTTCATACTTTCAGTAGAATTTTCCAACAGGAAAAAATACTACATCACATAATTTTCCAGATAGGACATCTCCTTGAAATAACCAAATCGGGAAAGCATTTTGGAACATACCATTTTGTAAAGGAATTAGACTTAGTGAATTGAGATAAGAAGTTACTAGAGATGCTAGAGGTTCCGTTAAAAGCCCAACAGCTGTTTTGTTTGATCTTTGAATGCTTGCCCTTATCTTCAGTTTCACACCCCCAGGTCCATTGTTTCTTGTTGTTGTCATTTGAGAAGGAGTTTCACTCTTGTTGCCCAGGCTGGAGTGTAATGGTGTGGTCTGAACTCACGGCAACCTCCACCTCCCAGGTTCAAGTGATTCTCCTGACTCAGCCTCCTCAGTTGCTGGGATGACAGGTGCCCGCCACCATGCCCAGCTAATTTTTGTATTTTTAGTAAAGACGGGGTTTTGCCATGTGGGCCAGGCTGAGCTGGATGATCCACCTGCCTCAGCCTCCCAAAGTGCTGGGATTACAGGCATGAGCCACCACGCCTGGCCAATTTCTTAAACTTTTTTAAAGGGTGGTTGCCACATGGAGTCTGAAAACATGTCAGTGAACTTTTCTTATTGTGTTCTACTAAATACGTTTTTGTCTCTCATACTTTTTTCAAGTTTCCAACACGTTATCTTACATTCTGAATGGATCTTTTCCCTATGCATGATTTTGTAGCCTCTTGCATTGATCATTTAAAATAACAGTTTAGGCTGGGCATGGGTGGCGTCACACCTGTAATCCCATCACCTTGAAAGGCCAAGGCAGGTGGATTCCTTGAGTCAAAGAGTTTGAGACTGTCCCGGGCAACACAGTGAGACCCCATTTCTATAAAAAAATAAAAAAATTAGTTGGGCATGGCGACTGCATTCCTAGCTATTTGGGAGGCTGGGGTGGGAGGATTGCTTGAGTTTTGGAGGTAGAGGTTGCAGTGAGCCAAGATCACACCACTGCACTTCAAAAAAAAAAAATGTTTTTTTCAGAAAGAAAGAAATTTTTGTAATGAATATACAAAATCAAAGAAATAAAAAGTTGGGTTCTTGAAAAGATAAACAAAATTGACAATCCTTTAGCCAGACTTAAAAAAGAAAGAGAGAGAGTGGAATAGGATGAGGGAAAAAAAGAGAAGTCCTAAATAAATGAAATTAGAGATGAAAAAGCAGACATTAAAACTAATACCACAGAAATTTAAGGGATTGTTAGAGGCTACTCTGAGTAACTATATGACAATAAAATGGAAAATCTAGTATAAATGGATAGATTTCTAGACACATACAATCAAGATTGGACCATGAAGAAATTCAAAACCTGAACAGACAAATAACAAATAACAAAATTGAAACCATAAAAAAAAAAAATCTCTCAACAAAGAAAAGTCTGAGACCCAATGGTGTCAGTGCCAAATTTTACCAGACATTTAAAGAAGCACTAATACCAAGCCTACTCAAACTATTCCAAAATAAAAGAGGAGAGAATATTTCCAAATTCATTCTACAAAGCCAGTATTACCCTGATACTACAGTTCCTTACAGTTCCTGGAAAGGGCTCTGGGGCTCCACAGACCATACCTTGAAAGCAAGTACCATAAAATAAATCTTCTATTCTTCAATATATTTGTAAGTAACACCACCCCTCTCAAAAGACCACTTCATAAGATTTACATAGACCTGCCCTGATGCCTTCAGAAATTGATCCTGTCTACTTTTGTAATTAACCTCAGAAAGCCACTCCTGAAAAAAAATCCATTTTGCTTCTCCTCAACTTCTACATTTCTGGAGTAGAAAAATCTGATTTTTTTTGTCATTCTTTGACTGAATTCTAATTTCTGACCCTTCACCCTTCTCCACACATCAAGCATTCACTTCAGGGAATGACTAGGTAAGTCCTGGTAGAATTAACTAGAATATTTTCATCTAATTTTTCATTTGTTTCAAAAGTATTGAACACCTATTAAAAGCCAGACCCTATTCTAGGCAGCATAAACAAAACAGTTAAGATACGCTTGACGTTATGAGGAGCTGAAGGATATCAAGCAAATGAGTAAAAGATATAGTGTATCAGACAATGAGTGCTTCCATGGCAAATAATGAAGTGGGAAGAGTAGAGAGTGCAGGGGTTTTAAGCGCAATAGTTTTAAGTGCAATAGTTAAGGATGGGCTCACAAGAAAGTATAACATGAACAAAGACTTGAGTCAGATTAGAGAGTGCGCCATGCTGATGTTTGAGAGACACATTGCAGAAAGAAGGGACAGGCCCTGGGCTGGGATGCTGGCTGTCCTATTTCACATAACGTAAGGAGGCCAGAATGTCTGGAGATAAAAGAAGAAAAAGGAAGCAGACGAGGTCACAGACCATACCAGGCACCAGGTTACCTAAGGCACAATAGGGCCAGGTGCCTTTTACTCTGAGTAATGTGAGAAGTCATTGACAGTTTTGAGCAGATAAGTGAAATAATTTTTATTTCAGTTTACCTTATTTTATTTTGAGACAGAGTCTTGCTCTGTTGCCGAGGCTGGGGTGCAGTGGCATGATCTCAGTTCGCTGCAACCTCCACCCCTGGGTTCAAGCAATTCTCCTGCCTCAACCTCCTGAGTAGCTGGGATTACAGGCACGTGTCACCATGCCTGGCTAATTCTGGTCCCAAACTCCTGACCTCGTGACCTGCCCACCTTGGCCTCCTCAAATGCTGGGATTACAGGTATGAGCCACCGAGCCTGGCCAACATGATTTAATTAACAATTTAACAACATCACATGAGGTACAGGGCTGAAAATAGATTGGCGGAAGCAGAGAGGTCAGTTAGAAGACTGCAATATACAGTGAAATAAGCACTAAAAAGAAAAAGAAAAAAAGACTGCAATAATCTTATGCAAGTGACCTATAATCTAATGAGATGGATTAGATATCTAACCCAATGGACCTATAATCTAATGAGATGGACTAATAATCTGATGAGAGAAACCAATAATCTGGCTGGGTGTGATGGCTCGTGTTTATAATCCAAGCACTTTGGAGGCCAAGGCGGGAGGATCACCTGAGGTCGGGAGTTTAAGACCACCCTGACCAACATGGTGAAACCCTGTCTTTAAAAAAAAAAAAGAGAGAGAGAAACCAATAATCTGATGACATGGACCAAGAAATGGTCAAATTCCTTAAATATTTGAATGTTAAAGCCATCAGAATGTTCAGCCTGACTAGATAATGTCATGAGGGGAAAAATGGAGTCAGGGTGTTTTCTAGACATGAGGCATGACCTGGCACCTCCTGAGCTGGAGAAAACAATGGGAGGAATAGTTTAGATACGAACATTGGGAGTTCAGCTTGGAACACATTGAGTCTGGGATGCCTGTTAGAGACAAGAAGGCAATTAGATGAAGTCCAAAGTTCAGAAGAAAAGTTCAAAAGTTCTGTAAAGAGAAATCTGGAAAGTGCTTTGATTCCAAGGATATTCTGAGCTCTAAACTTTGTGATGTCTCCCATAGTTGCTTTTTTAGTGTCTGTCTCAAGCTCCTTTTTCTCGTTTCTGTTCCTTCCTTCTCTATTCCTTCTTGAAGCTCAAATATGTCTTCTTTAGTTCCTGAATATCTGTACCTTTCTGAAATTCCTAATGCTCAAATGCACTGGAAACAGCCTATTTTCATAATATCACATCAGAGAAAATGGTTTTCCCTTATCCAGATGCAGTTATTTTAAAGTTTAAGAATGGAACTCTCACAACTTCTGACAAGACCACTAGGTTTTTAAGCCCTACTTTTCCCCCAAACCAACAAGAGCTCAGTCAAGCACAAGGGAACTTACTGTGTGAAGAGTTGTCTTCAGCCACACTGGAAGAGTCCTGGAGGTTGAGCCACTGTCTGGGAGAAAATCTGCACCGAGGCTGGCTTTTATACGTTGAGCCAGGTTGTCCCACCCACTTTTTTAAACCGTTTACATGATTCTCTAATTCCACCCTTAGTAATTGTATCACTTGTTAGAAACTCCTTAGACACATGTACACTCCATCTGAAAAGGACTAGATACGACTCCTTTTCGTCAGTTGATATTTAAATGATTACCAATCCCTGCACCTAAGCCATCACAAGAAGAACGTTTTGCCCCATGCCAACTCACATACAGAGAGTCATGCTCCTTGGCTCCCCCAATTCCCTTTGGGAAAACAATTTATCTCAAGTCACTGGAAACTGAATGGGGAGACAAGCTTGCAATAGTTCCCAGTTTTTTTTAAAAGAATATGTTTGAGTACTATTCTGCTTACATATATTTTTTAATGCTTATTAAAGACTTACATTCTTTTTTATATGAGGTTTGTGTGTGCTCCACATATCTGCTGACATAGTGGCCTTTCCTTAATAATTTAAAAGTGTTATTTCTAATTAGTATCAAATAAGAGTGAGGCTAGTGAGACAGGAACAAAATTGAAGGGGGTGCTAAAAATTCTATGATCAAGATAAATAATATTTGAATGCAATGTATTTTTAAATAATGTAAAAAGTCCATCTTGACAAAACGTAAACATTGTAAATAAAAAGATCCTACCCTGCACGTGCATGACGCTGCAAGTTATGCGAGTGAGGGTACCTGTGCATTGAAAAAGACGTCTCACCATTGACCAGTCATTGATCAGTCATTGATCAGTCATTGATCAGTGTTTAAAGAAGTTGGCTGGTGGTTTTCACTGTTTGTAGCTGTAATCTACAATACCACAGAATGAAAGGGAATGTTTTATTACATACGTATGCTCGTGTACTTTTAAAAATATTATTAAGAGCACATAAAGAAGTGATATGAATTTCATTTATTGATATATTTGACCATCCACAAATAAAATTTGGTCAGATATCAAGTCATTTTTGATAAACAATTTTGAACCTGGAAAATAACATAAAATAATGTTTGAGGAAAATTTTACACTTTATTTAAATAAAACAATGATAAGTTGTTTTCACTTTCTATATATGACATTTTGTCACAACATTTTTACAACAAATTTGTTTGGAAATCTAAGCACAATTTTCTGCTGTTTGTTTATATTGATGTAATTTTGATATAAATTATATGCACATCTACTTGAACATTACATATTACAATTATGAATGGGTTTTAAGTTAATTGATACAAATTGAATATTTACAACAAGGAATTATAATATATCTAATATATCATATTAATATATGATATATTAATAAATATTACATTATGTAATACATAACAGATTATCTGTTATATATTAACATATATGATATAACATATATATAACATATACATTATATGTTATATATTACATATTTACTCCAATTAAATATTGTATTTACTTTTTAGCTTTATTGAGGTACAGCTGACAAAAATAATACATATTTTAAATATGCAATTTGAATTTTGATATACACATATAATATAATTACCATAATCAAATCAAGCTGATTGAGGTATTTACCACCTCAAATCACACCCAGGCTGGAGCGCAATGGCCAATCTTGGCTCACTGCAACCTCCGCCTCCCAGGTTCAAGTGACTCTCCTGCCTCAGTCTCCTGAGTAGCTAGGATTACAGGCACCTCCCACCACACCCAACTAATTTTTGTATTTTTAGTAGAGACGCAGTTTCACCATTTTGGTCAGGCTAGTCCCAAACTTCTAAGTTCATGATCTGCCCACCTCGGCCTCCCAAAGTGTTGGGATTATAGGAGTGATCCACTGTGCCAGCCAAAAATGATATATATATTTTAAATATATTGTTTGAATTTTGATATGCATGTATAATATGATTACCATAATCAAATCAAGCTGACTAATGTATTTACCACCTGAAATTATATCCTTTGTGTATGTGTGTGGTCAGTGTAAGGGTTATTGCTGAGTTTAAAATGAGGAAACTGAGGCCAGTATAAGAAAATTAAATGCCAATTTATTCAGCTCCCGGGCGAGGTTCTGTTGTCCAGGGAAGCGGGCCAGAGAAGTCTCGCTGACTTCCTGGAGGCGGGGGAGGAACGAGCAACAGCTGGGTGCTCTGATTGGGTCCTGGGAAGCGGTATTGGGACGGGACGGGCCGCTATTGGTTGGCGGGTTGTTGGGCGGGTATTTCCGGTGCGAGAGCCGGCCAGCGTTGCATCAGCGGGAGCCTTCCAGGGGAGCCAGGCGGCAGAGCAGGGTGCCAGGTACAGAGTCAGGTGCTGAGTGCAGAGGTGGATATGTCTGGCCTCCCAGCCAGGCAACGGGCCTTACAGTAAGAACACTTTTTTTTTTTTTGAGACAAAGTTTCACTCTTGTTGCCCAGGCTGGAGTGCAATGGCATGATCTCAGCTCACTGCAACCTCAGCCCCCTAGGTTCAAGCCATTCTCCTGCTTCAGTCTCCCAAGTAGCTGGGATTATAGGCATGTGCCACCATGCCCAGCTAATTTTTTATATTTTTATTAGAGACAGTGTTTCCCCATGTTGGTCAGGCTGGTCTCAAACTCCCGATCTCGGGTGATCCGACCACCTGGGCCTCCCAAAGTGCTGGGATTACAGGCATGAGCCACTGCTCCCAGCCAGACATTTTAAAAAAATATATCCTTCGTCAGGTGCGGTGTCTCACGCCTGTAATCCCAGCACTTTGGGAAGCCAAGGCACGTGGATCACGAGGTCAGAAGTTCTAGACCAGCCTGAGCAAGACAGTGAAACCCCGTCTCTACTAAAAATACAAACATTTTTTTAAAAATACAAAAATTAGCCAGGCACGTTGGTGGGCACCTGTAATCCCAGCTACTCAGGAGGCTGAGGCAGTAGAACCGCTTGAACCCGGGAGGCGGAGGTTGCAGTGAGCCAAAATCGCACCATTCTCTTGCCTGGGTAACAGAGCAACAATCCATCTGAAAAAATAAAAATAAAAAAAAATTCTATCTCCCTCATGCAGAAGAATACTTAAGATCTATCCTTGTAGCAAAAAAAAAAAAAAAAAAAAAAAAAAAAAAAAAAAAAAAAAAACCTATCCTGTCAGCAAATGTCAAGTAGCATGGTTTGTTTCTGAACATCCCATTTTAAGTTTTTTTTTTTTTTAGTTTGTTAACTATGTCACATAATGTCACTATGTACATATGTCAAATACCATCACCGTGTACATTAAATCCCCTAAACTTATTTATCTTGCAGAACTAAAAATTTGTACCTCTTGAGCAACATTTCCCCATTTCCCCTTCACCCAAGCCCCTGGCAACCACCATTCTGCCCTCTGCTTCTATTAGTTTGAGTGTTTTGAGTTTTGTTTTTTGTTTTTCTTTGGGTTTTTTTGGAGTCAGAATCTTGCTCTGTCACCCAGGCTAGAGTGCAGTCGCTCAACCTTGGCTCACTGCAACCTCCACCTCCTGGGTTCAAGCAATGCTCCTGCCTCAGCCTCCTGACCAGCTGGGACTACAGGTGCAAGCCACCAGGGCTGGCTAATTTTAATATTTTTAATAGAGATGGGGTTTCACCATGTTGGTCAGGCTGGTCTCGAACTCCTGACCTCAGGTGATCTGCCCGCCTCAGCCTCCCAAAGTGGTGGGATTACAGGCATGAGCCATCATGACTGGCCAAGAGCAGTTTCTGATAAAAATCTTTTGAATTCAGCTGTAAAAATGGCAACCCGTCCAGGACCCCTCTCGTCTGTGGGGTACTTTCTTCTTTAGCTTATTAAACTTTTACTCTTTGTGTCCACACTCCTTAATTTTCTTGGTCATGAGACCATGAGCTTAGATAACACCTTAAACAATGAGACCAGTGACCCTGACCTGTTTCAGTTTATTTAAAATATTTTTCTTACTTTTTACTTATTTATTTACTTTGAAAGGGTCTTGTTCTGTTACCTGGGCTGCAGTGCAGTAGTGCAACCATGGCTCACTGTCGCCTCCAACTCCTGGGCTCAAGCGATTCTACCCCTTAGGCCTCCAAAAGTGCTCTGAGAATAAATGCATGAGCCACCATGCCCAGCCATCAAATTTTTTTTTTTTTTTTTTTTTTTTTGAGACGGAGTTTTTTTCTTGTTGCCCAGGCTGGAGTGCAATGGCGCGATCTCGGCTCACTGCAACCTCCGCCTCCTGGGTTCAGGCAATTCTCCTGCCTCAGCCTCCTGAGTAGCTGGGATTACAGGCACGAGCCACCATGCCCAGCTGATTTTTTGTATTTTTAGTAGAGACGGGGTTTCACTATGTTGACCAGGATGGTCTCGATCTCTTGACCTCATGATCCACCCGCCTCGGCCTCCCAAAGTGCTGGAATTACAGGTGTGAGCCACCGCGCCTGGCCAAATTTTCAATCATTATAAATCTTAAAGCTGGAAATAATATCTTACTGCATTTTTTTCAAGACAGGCTTGGCCAGGCATGGTGGCTCACGCCTGTAATCCAAGCACTTTGGAGGCCAAGGCAGGTGGATCACCTGAGGTCGGGAGTTCAAGACCAGCCTGACAAACACAGTGAAACCCCGTCTTTATAAAAATAATAATAATAATAAAATAAAATAAAAAAGACAGGCTTTCACCATGTTGGTCAGGCTAGTCTTGAACTCCTGACCTCAGGTGATCTGCCTGCCTTGGCCACCAAAGTGCTTGAATTACAGGTGTGAGCCACCACTCCCAGCCTGCTTTATTTTTAATTTGAGTGCTAGTGTGTTTGAACAACTTTAATCAAATGTATTTGCCATATTTTATTTTTCTTATCTTTCCAATTCTTTGCTTCTTTCTTAGGTAGAACATTTCTTTGAGGCTTAAATATGCTGCATTTGTCCTATGTCCTGCAAGTGTTTTCTTAATTCAGTATTTTAAAATAATATTTTATTTTTATGTTTTGTGTATTTTTATAGCATTCTTCTAAATTGGATCTATGTTTATTTTAATTGTCTAACTGGTTAAAGTACTGACAGGAGGCAGTGCACTTCGTGAAAATGGAGAACAAGATGTGGTGCCTTTTAGTAAATGTTTACCAAACGACACAGGTAGGATTCCACTTCCAACCATATATCCAGAACTTTTAACATTGTACATAAAAATGCAGGTGAAGTCGTGCAGAAGGGAGGCCAGCAATGCACAGGTGGAGCCTCTGGGGGAAGAATCAGAAGTCATTCTGAATCCTAAATTTCTGACCTGACCTTTCTGCAGGGCAGGTATCTGACTTGTGCTACACTGTCAACAATACAAAGAAACCTTGACAAGCTTTTATTTCTTTTTATTTTTATGTTTCACTGCAGTTTCCAATTCCGTGATCTCAAAACCCAGGATGTCATCTCCAGTACCAGTTTTCAGCCTCACCTCTGTGCGGCTTCACAGGTGTGTAGGTCTCCCTGGGAGGGTGGGAAGCAGGTGCCCTGAGCTGCCACGTCTACCCTTTTACCCACTGGGGTGCAGCCAAGGGAAATCCGTTAGGGTGGGGCGTGCTGAGGGGGTGGGGCATGCTGAGGGGGCGGGGTTCCACCATGTTGGCCAGGCTGGTCTTGAACTCCTGACCTCAGGTGAGCTGCCTGCCTCAGCCTTCCAAAGTGTTGAGATTACAGGCATAAGCCACCATGCCCGGCCCATCCCATCCTTTTTAAGTTAGTTAGTTATTTTAGAAGCCACATGGACTCAAGGATTCTTATCTGCTGCATTATAATCCATTTCTATCATTGTACTGGTGCTCACATTAGCTAGTGTGAGCCTCTCCAAACTCAAGTAGGCTTAACTTTCTAGCTTCTATCACAGAGCTCCTAAAACCCTTGGAATTTCCTGTGTGTTGAAATGCCTTTTATTTGTAATGACTTTTTGATCAGATCTCAGTTTATACCAATGAGATGGCTTAGAGTGGAGCCCCTAGACAGCCCCAGGATGAAGCTGGTCCCCAGAAAGATTAGAGAGTTGGAACTTTCAGCCCCACTTACCAAGCTCTGTGAAGGAGAAAAGGTGGGGTAGCTCGACATGAAGCTCTATAAAAACTCTTGGACAACAAGATTTTAGCTTTCCAGATCGCTGAATGTAAGGCTGATGGCCCCACAGGGTCGTGGGGTGTTCCTTATGCTCTGCTGAGGTGTAGGATCCAAGAAATAAAGATACAGGACACAGAAGTACAAGGAAAATGCAGCTGGGCTCGAGGGGCCACACCACCTATGAGCAGAGTCAGGAGAGGCCCCGAATGTCTAGAAGCGTGAGTATGTATTGTGTGTAGGTTAGGGGGCAGGGCAGTGAGTGAAATCATCTTTAAGGATAGCGATAGGGTCATGAGCAATAAAACAAGGGGTCCACCCCCATTAGGTCACCTAGGCTAGGAGGTGGACAGTGCACAGCAAGGGGTCCATTCCCATTAGGTCATTGAGACAAGGGCTGTGAGCAGTAAGGGGTCCACCCCCATTAGGTCACCGAGGCTTGATGGTGGGTCATGCACAGTGAAGAGGGTGCAGTGTGCAATACCTCTATCTATGGGCAAACTAATTCTAAGAAGATTTATCGGGGAATGCTTTAAGTCACACAGTAGTGACAGAGCTATCAGGATTACCGCTACCTACTGACAGCTTCCAGTGAGTTCTACAGGAAGACGCTTTTCGAGCAGCACAGTAACAAGAGCTGATAAAGTTCACAGTCACCAAAGTGTGATTGCTGGTCTCAGGGCAGCCTTCCATAAGAACTGGAGCCAGGTCCTACAACTCCTGTATCAGGAGGAGTGGCTCTTGCCCCAAGCCTGCCATACAGCGAGTATCTTTACAATACTGAATGCTGCCGCCTGGGCCATGGATTCTTATCCTGGTATAACTGTTTTTCCCTTAAATCATGCTCTGCACTGCATCTGCTCTAGGCATTCCTCCGATTACAAACTAAGATAAAATTATACATATATGTAGGGAAATATTCTTTAGGCACTCATACTATGAACTATTATATGATTATATAGAGAGGATTATATAAAGGGAAATAACTGAGTAGTAACACTATAAACTGAGATAATCTACAAACCCTAATTCTATAAACTAGTATGTGATTATATAAAGGGTTATACAAAAGGAAATAACTGAGTAGTAACACTATAAACTGAGATATTCTTCAGGCCTTAACTGTGCCAGGGTTCTGCTTAGCTCTCCTTCCTTGGTGCCTAGATGGGTTACCCACAGCTGAACACATTGAGTGTGCCTGGCGAAGGCACAGAAGCTCCACACCTCTTCTCACATACCTTGCCCTATGTATCTTTTCTATCTGGCTATTCATTTGTATCCTTTGTGATGTATATTATTATTAAACAGTAAACATAAGCAAAGTGTTTCTCTGAGTTCTGTGATTCATTCTAGAAATGAGTTCCAGGGGGTTGTGGGAACCCCAATTCTAATGTAGTTGTTCAAAAGCACAGGGCACAACCTGGTGATTGTGATTGGCATCTGAAGTGAAGGGCAATTTTATGGGACTTAGTCCTCAACCTGTGGGATCTGACATTTCTTTCAAGTAGATAGTGTCAGATGTGATTTATAGGATACCTAGTGATGTCTCCTGGAGAATTGAGATGGATGTAAACTCCACTCATTTGGTCACACAAGTGTTCTGTTTTAAGTGAATTGAAAGAAAAGAACAGTTTGCTTTTTCCGTTAGACGTGGTGTCAGAAATGGGATGTTGAGTGATTGTGTAAGAGTAGGAACACTTATAAACATTTGGAAATTAAAATAGTCCTTTTTTATTTGCATTTTTGGATTTTAAAAAATAATTATGGAGATGCAGAAATTATAAAAAATAGTGCAGAGTTCTGTGTATTCGTCATCCAGCTTATTCAAATGATGACATCTTTATATAGTACAAAGTTAAAACCAGGAAATTGACATTGCTACAATCTGTAGTTCTTATTTAGATTTAACCAGTTCTCTACATCTCTCATTTACATGTATATATGTACTTCTATGGCAATTTTAATTTTTTAAATGAAGCTATAAAGGGAGACTTATGCAGTAGCATAATGTCCATTATTAGGAGCAAGGTAAGGAACAGTATATCAGAATTAGTCAAAGGGCAAACAAAAGCCAAGTTTGATGATCAGGGAAAACTCTGCATCCCCAAATGCTTGTTGAATAAAATGAAGGTCTACCAGTCAAAACACCACAATAAACCAGATGCTGGGAAAAGGATGATGATATGGTTTGGCTCTGTGAACCCACCAAATCTTACCTTGAATTTTAATAATCCCCATGTGGCAAGGGCAGGGCCCGGTGGAAAAAAACTGAATCCTGGGGATAGTTTCCCCCATATTGTTCTCATGATAGTGAGTGAGTTCTCATGAGATCTGATGGTTTTATAATGGGGTTTCCCCTTCACTTGGCTCTCACCTCTCTCGCCTGCTACCATGTAAGATGTGCCTGTTTCACCTTCTGCTATGATTGTAAGTTTCCTGAGGCTTCCCTAGCCATGCAGAACTGTGAGTCAAACCTCTTTTCTTTTTTTTTTTTTTTTTTTTTTTTGAGACGGAGTCTTGCTCTTGTTACCCAGGTTGGAGTGCAATGGCGCGATCTCGGCTCACCGCAACCTCCGTCTCCTGGGTTCAGGCAATTCTCCTGCCTCAGCCTCCTGAGTAGCTGGGATTACAGGCACGTGCCACCATGCCCAGCTAATTTTTTGTATTTTTAGTAGAGACGGGGTTTCACCATGTTGACCAGGATGGTCTCGATCTCTTGACCTCGTGATCCACCCGCCTCGGCCTCCCAAAGTGCTGGGATTACAGGCTTGAGCCACCGCGCCCGGCCAAACCTCTTTTCTTTATAAATTACCCAGTCTCAAGTATGTCTTCATAGCAGCATGAAAACAGACTAATATAGATGCCATGCTCCTCTAATACCAGTGTTGCTCTGTGCATGTGTCTTTGTCTATGTGAGAAAGAATTGAAACTAGAAAAGCAGAAGCATTACATTTAGATATGTCCCAGCTGTAGTTTGGATGAGTTTGGAAGGCTGATACAATAAAAGTGATCTTACAGATGAGAGTAATGGGTTTAGAAAAAGAAAGTTGTTTCTAGTGTACAGGTTGAATTAGAGGGGAATAAGTCAATAAATAAGGTTTTAGCCTGACACAGTGGGTCATGCCTATAATCCCAGAACTTTAGAAGAACAAGACAGGTGGATTGCCTGAGTTTAGGAGTTTCAGACCAGCCTAGGCAACATGGCAGAACCCTGTCTCTACAAAAAATACAAAAAAAAAAAAAAAAAATAGGCAGGTGTGGTGGCAGGCACCTGTAGTTCCAGCTACTCTGGAGGCTGAGGTGGGAGGATCGCTTGAGCCTGGGAAGTAGAGGCTGCAGTGAGCCGTGATCGTGCTACTGCATTCCGGCTTGGGCAACAAAAAATGAAAAAAAGAAAGAAAGTTTTAAAGCTACCATTATAGTAGCCTAGAGTCCTAAACTCTGATCTGCTTTCCCTTACCTAATCCTTTCTTATTACTTGCCTTTAACCCAGAATTTCTCAGTCTTGGCACTATTGATATTGTGGGATGGATAATTTTTGGTTGCAGTGGGAAATCCTGTGCAATTTAAGAACTTTAACAGCATCACTGGCCTCTTTTTAGTACATACCAGTGAAGCAGGATAGGTAGTCAAGGAGTGACCATGTCCTCAGGACACAGCAACCGTGGTGTCCATACAATCAACACAATATGCCTCAGCATTCAAATTGTAGTTAAGTGGATTCAAGCAAAGCTATCACATAGAAACTGACCCTCCCACTCATAAAACTTGAGAAAAGTACATTTGTCTTATGTCATAGAAATAAACAAATTTTCTTGCCCATTTTTTTTTAAACTATGGTTGTCCTAAGACTTTTGCCATCCACAATTATTGTTTGGCTTTGATTCTACTCCAGAAAGTGGCTTACAGTCAGCTACAGTTCAGGGCTTCTTTGGGAGACTTCATAAAAAGGACTCTTGAATGCAAGTTTCTGGTAACTTTGGAGATTGTTCTATTGGCCCAGAGTGAAAACTTCTAGGACGCTAATTAGAAGGCTGATGTATTCATAAAATACATAATTATATACATATATATTTATCCAATATGTCTCAGAGCAGGAGTTGATTTCACGGACTGTACTATTATAAATAAAAATATTTTATTATATAGTATATTAAGCAATGTTAGAAGTCACCATTGATGACTTTTTTTTCTCCATTAACTGTGGAACCAAGAGGATAAAAATTATCTTTCATGAGTTAAGGATTCATGCAGTTGAGAAATGGAATTAGAGAGAAATGGAATAAACAGGCACTCACCCACACCAACACCCAACCCACACCCACACACAGATTTATTCCAAGACTGAACTTATTATTTTTTGTTTGTTTGAAACATTGCTGATTCTTTTTGTTTTTGAGTCAGGAGAGCTTTTTTTTTTGAAATCTATTTTCTGTCTCTATGAAACTTTTTTCCTTCGAGTTATTTATAGCCTTCAACAATTGAGTATACACTTGTAAACAAAATTTGAGGACTATTTCTCTCTCTGCCTGATTTCTCCAGAATTCAGAAACTATTTGTGAATATTCTTAATTCATGGCAATTTGGTTGTTTGCACATGTTCAATAAGAATCTGCTTTTGCCGGGCGCGGTGGCTCACACCTGTAATCCTAGCACTTTGGGAGGCCGAGGTGGGTGGATCACCTGAGGTCAGGAGTTCAAGACCAGCCTGGCCATCATGGTGAAACCCCATCTTTAAAAAAAAAAAAAAAAAATCTGCTTTCTAGCTAGCTGTAGTGGCACACACCTGTAGTCCCAGCTACTTGGGAGGCTGAGGCAGGAAGATCACAAGGTCAGGAGTTTGAGACCAGCCTGGCCAACATGGTAAAACTCCGTTTCTACGAAAAATACAAAAATTAGCTGGGCGTGGGGGTAGGCACCTGTAATCCCAGCTACTCAAGAGGCTGAAGCACAAGAATCACTGGAAACCGGAAAGCAGAGGTTGCAGTGGGCCGAGATTGAACCACTGCACTCCAGCCTGGGCGAAAGAGCAAAACCCCATCAAAGAAAAGAAAGGAAAGGGAAAGGGAAAGAGAAGGAAAGGAGGAAGGAAGGAAAGAAAAATATAGTGTTAGATTAATCTTTGGGTTAATCTGAGTGGCCACGTGGTCATCTATGGTGTGGAGCTACCCGCAATAGCCCTCCTCAGCATAAAGCAGCCAGAAAGATCAAGTCCAGATTCCCCATGATTGAGGAATTGATAAACAGAAAGAGAGGGAACTGAAACCAGCTCCAGTGTCCAAAAAAACTGATATTAATGGTTTCTTTTGAATAAACACATTATAGACATTGAGCCTCCCGTTCCTAAAACTAGAGACACTTAGAGTTGCCTAATCTGATTTCCTTTTTCAGGAAACCAAGCATCAGGCCTCCCAGATAGTATCAAGAAGTTGAAACTTACTGGATTACCACATCTGGAAAATGAGATGCTGTACCCCTTACCCATCATGATTGCCTAACTAACCGTTGCTGCCTGTTCACCCATTGCTCTTCCTGACCCCTTCCTAATTCCTGTATTCTCACACATAGTTACACTTCTTCCTTGATGTATAAACCCCTAGTTTTGGTCAGTTGAGGAAAGGGATTTGGGATTAATCTCCCATTCTCCTCAACTGCAACACCAAATAAAGCCTTCATCCCTGGCAACACTCATTGTCTCACTGATTGGCCTTCTGTGCAGCAAGCACCTTGATATAAAGTCTGGCCTTTCTGGTAATATTGTCATTAACCACTTAATGATGTAGACTTGGTCACCCGCTCATGCTCTGTCTATGCTCTTCTCCATCTACATTTATTGCCCTGATCGTCTCACTCAGTATCATAACTTGAAAAACAACTCCTAAATTCATGTATCAATGCTCAAACCTTCTTCCAACACTCAGTCGTAAGTTGAATTGCCTTTGACAGAGATACTTTGTGGTTTTACAGACATTTCAAACTAACCATCCTGAGTCTACGAGCCTCCCCCACTTGTAGGCTCCCCACCTCAGAAGTGGGCAAATCCACTTTTTGTGTGGTCTGGGCCAAGTACAGGATTCCCTGCATCGCGTGGAGGCTGCGCTGGTCCAAAGAAGGCCCCAAAGAGGACCGTTTGCGCACACATGTCGGGACAGGGCTTCCAGACGGTCATCAGGCTATTTTTTTGTGGCTTCCAAGAAGACGATCCGGGGAGGAGGCATCTTAAAGGGGGTCAGTCGTCAGGCGGGCTGAGGACCCGGTTCTGCGCCTTAGCCTGTGCGCTGACCTGAACGAAAGTCCCTGTGTCCCGAGCTCTGATCTTCCCGAGAGAAGAAAGCAGGCTAACCCTCTGTCCCTCGGTTCCCTCCCTCCGTCCTTCCCCTCGAGTTGTGCCCATCGCAAAGAGGCGGGTCTGGAGCGTCTCCTTGGGTCCTCGAGTGCCTTTTCCCGGGAGGAAAACGCGCCGTGAAGCCCTCCTCTCCTGGTTGAACACATCAGGAAACCTACAGTCCCTAGAAGTCTGCGCATTCCACTTGCAGCGGGTGCTGGGCCAATGGCGGCCTAGGACAGGGACGTTTCCGGCGGCCCACACCGGCGGGGGCGGGACTTCCGGGTTGTTCGCTGAGGACGCCATTTTTCTCTGCGCCTATGTCCGGAGCAGTCTGGAGCCGCTGAGGGCGCCTGCCAGGGCCGCTTTCCAGGGCCCTAGTCAGGACCGAGGAGGGGAGGAGAGTAGGAATCCCCGCTGCACCTTTGTACGAGGTTGACGGAGCCTCAACGGGCTTGTTCCTGGCTCGCCGTCAAGCCGCGGTCTCTCCTCCCCCGCCCTTCAGCCCTGCGGTCGCCAGGGGCTGCCCGCTGGGTCTGGATCGCCGTTACCATCGAGGAGGCGGCGCCCTGGGTCTGGAACGCCGTTGCCACTGAAGAGGCTGCGGCCCCGAGCGCGGCGAGTAGCCGCGTGCAACTGGCCAGGACCGGGCACAGGTGGGGTCCGCTAAGCCGCCGGAGGCTCCTCTGTCCCAGCTCTGCGGCCCAGGGAGTGACGTGATGGCGGCAGCGGTGCTGACGGACCGGGCTCAGGTGAGTGGACGGTGGCTTCGCCGTTGCCGCTCCTTTGCCAGCCCAGAGGCGGTTCCCGTAGTGGGTGGGAGCCCACGTAGCCCCTGCATTTGTCTTCGCAGTAGTCGTTCGTTTTGGTGTGTAGAGCTGCTTTGCCACTTAATTTATACCTGGTCCTAAGGGGTGTTGGACCTACTGAAAGGAGCTTTGTAGGTTGTTGAGTGAATGATGCTTCCTCTGGGGACTCCCTTCATCCTTGGCCTGCAGGCATCCACTCTGGTGGACCAGGTCTCATTCCAGCAGGAAATTGGGA